AGACAAGGCAGCTAGAATTTGTGCAGCAAAACATAACAGAGGAAGGGGCAGCTTAGAGAACTCCAGAGATCCATAGAAGGCCTCCCTTAAAGCTGTATTTAAGTACTAATCTGCACATGCATGAGAAGAAACACCTCAAAGCCAGAGAAAGAGCCACCAGAAAGGGGAAGAACAAATAATTCTTGAACATCAGTCACACAGGGCTAAGAATAATTTGTGTTCCCACCACCCAGGGTGACATCAGTTAGATCCTTTTAAGGCTTGCTTTTTGATCTTTGTTAGGGTGGGTTCAGAGCAGCTTTTTCATCAGGAGCATCAGATAGATTCCTTAGAAGGGTATCACCTTTGTAGTGGGGCTGAATTAGTCCTAGACTAATAGGCTACTCTGGATCTACCCTAAACTGATTCCAAGTAACTTAACTGCATTCCCAGGACAAAGCCTTACCTATATTTAAAAGGATACAATATAGGCCAGGCGCAGTGGCCCACGCTTGTAATCCTAACAGTGGGAGGCCGAGGTGGGCGGATTGTTTAGCTCAGGAGTTCGAGACCAGCCTGAGCCAAGAGTGAGACCATTAAATAAAAAAGAAAAAGGATACAGTATCATCCAGCACCCAAAAAATGTAAAAAAAAAAAAAAAAAGTGTCTAGCATCTAATACACAATTGCCAAGTACACAAAGAAGGAAGAACATATGATATTAACCAGGAGGGAAATCAGTCAGTAAAAACAGACCCCAAAATGACAAAAGATGATAGAATTAGCAAAGGACATTAAAATAATTTACGAATATGTTGTACATCTTCAAGAATATAGGAAGAAATATGAACATAATGGTGAGTGAAATGAAAGATGTAAAAAAAGATTTAAGTAGACCTCCAGAGATGAAAAAACAGTATCTAAAATGAAAAATGTAGTCGATTGACAGCAGATTAGTACTACAAGAGAAAAGATCAGGGAACCTCAAGATACAGCAATAGAAACAATCCAAAATATAGCTCAGAGAATAAAGACTGAATGAAATAGCAGAGCATCAGTGACTTGTGGGACAAAATCAACTAGTTCAAGATATGTGTAACTATCGTTCCAGAAGAAGAGGAAGGAATATAAACAGTATTTAAAGGAATAATGGCTGAAATGTTTCCAAATTTGATGAAAACTGCAAACTATAAAGCTCAAAAACCCTAAACAGAATAAACATACAGATCATAGCAAGGTACTTCATAATCAGATTACTAAAAAACAGTGCTAAAGGGAAAAAAAAAATCTTAAAAATCAGCCAGAAGAAAAGAAGGCACATTATAGAGGAACAAAAGGTACTAATAACAGACTTCTGGTTAGATATTGTGTAAGCCAGAAGACAACGGAGTGACATTTTTGAATGCTGAAAGAAAAAAACCTTTTAGCCTAGAATTCTGTACCTAGCGAAAACATCTTTAAAAAATGAAGGTGAAATAAATTTTTAGGCCAAGAAAAATTGTCAAAATTAATTGCCAGCAGAACTGTACTACTTGAAACATTAAAGGACATTCAGATAGAAGGAAAATATCAGATAGAAATTTTTACACAAAGGAATGAAAGGAATCAGAGATGGTCAATAGATGGATGTTTTCACTTTTACACTTTTAAAAAAAAGTGATTATTTAAGGCTGGGTGTGGTGGCATGTGTGTGTAGTCCCAGCTACTCGGGAGGCTGAGGCAGGACAATTGCGTGACCCCAAGAGTTTGAGGTTGCAGTGAGCTAGGATGATGCCACTGCTCTCTAGCCAAGGTGACAGAGCAAGACTCTGTCTAAAAAAAAAGGCTATTTAAAGCAAAAATAACCATGTATTGTGGGACTTGAATACTTGTAGAGGTAAATAAATGGTAACAATAGCACAAGGGGGGGAGGGAGAAGTGGAAGTACAGTGTTACAGGATTCCATAACTCAAGTGGTATCATATATCTGAAGGTAAACTGTGATAAGTTAACCGTGTATATTATATCCAGAAAAATATTTCACCATGGAAAAAAAAAAACATTAATTGCCAATATCATGAATGTGTTAATAAAAAGATATTACCACAGATTGTACATTGAAAGGGTGATTAGAAATATTATGAATACTTTCATGTCAATAAATCTGACAACTTTAAATGAAATCAGCACAAACCACCAAAACTTGAGAAGAGATATGTAACTCATATAACTCTATATTTATTTATTTTTTCTTTTTCTTTTTTTTTTTGAGGCAGAGTCTCACTTTGTTGCAGATTAGAGTGAGTGCTGTGGCGTCAGCCTAGCTCACAGCAGCCTCAAACTCCTGGGCTCAAGCCATCCGGCTGCCTCAGCCTCCTGAGTAGCTGGGACTACAGGCATGCGCCACCATGCCCAGCTAATTTTTTCTATATATATTAGTTGGCCAATTAATTTCTTTCTATTTATAGTAGAGATGGGGTCTCACTCTTGTGTTTCGAACTCCTGACCTCAAGCATTCTGCCCACCTCAGCCTCCCGGAGTGCTAGGATTACAGGCGTGAGCCACCGCGCCTGGCCTAACTCTCTATTTCTTAAAGAAATTGAATTTTTAGTTGAAATACTTGCCTCAGAGAAAAGTCCAGGCCCAAATGGGCTTCACTGGCAAATTATATTAAATACTTAAGGAAAAAATAATACTAACTTGACAAAGACTTTTTCAGAAATTAGGAGGGCATATTTTGGCCGGGTGTGGTGGCTGACGCCTGTAATCCTAGCACTATGGGAAAGCGAGGAGGGAGGATCATTTGAGGTCAGGAGTTTCAGACCAGCTTGAGCTAGAGTGAGACCCAGTCTTTCCTAAAAATAGAAAAATGAGCCGGGTGTGGTGTCATGCGCCTGTAGTCCCAGCTATGCAGGAGGCTGAGGCAGGAGGATCACTTGAACCCAGGAATTTGAGGCTGCTCTGAGCTAGGCTGAGTCTGTTTCAAAAAAAAAAAAAGTAATTGAAGAAGGAATAGAAAACCTTAACTAGTCCTATAACCATTTAAAAAGTTTATAGATTTACCAAATGTGATTAAAGGAATATTGAGAGTGTGTGTATACATACATATATATATATGTGTTATCATTTATTACCTTAATTGACCTGTGCAGTTTGAGTACAAGATTAAAACCCATATTTTTGAATGTGTAATTGTATCAGTGAGAACGCTTTTTGATGTAAATTTTAGAAAACTCTAAACCATAGCTATTTTAAGTAACGGGATTTATTGATCACCAGTGGCTAGCTGTAGTTGCTCCAGGTGGCTCCATTTCTTCTCCAGCGTCCATTTCCCCCTTTGCTGTGTTCCCAGACAGGCTCTTCACTCGTAGTTGCCAGATGGCAGCATCAGCTGCAGACTTCTGTGTATTCGTGTTCAAGTTCTTTGTGAAAGAGTGAGAATCTCTTTAAGTCCCAGAGTAGGAAGAAAAGGCTTCATTAATTTTGACCTGGGTGTTCAGAGAGATGAATTAACTCTGGCCAGAGGAATAGGATGCTCTGATTGGCCAGGCCCAAATCACATACTTCTTTTCTGCCCAGAGGCTGGAGTAGTGTCTCTGGAAGCTGGTGGACTGAGAGAGGGAATTTATACCTGGTGAGAAATCAGGGTATAGGAACCATAGGAAAAGTGAACAAATGCTTCATTGCAAAATTAAATTTCAATTGCAGTGATTGTGAGATGTAAAATTTCATGAATTCTTTATTCAAGATAATTATAAAATTCTAAGCCGGGCACGGTGGCTCACGCCTGTAATCCTAGCACTCTGAGAGGCTGAGGCGGGCGGATTGCTCGAGGTCAGGAGTTCGAAACCAGCCTGAGCAAGAGCAAGACCCCGTCTCTACTATAAATAGAAACAAATTAATTGGCCAACTAATATATATAGAAAATTAGCCGGGCATGGTGGCGCATGCCTGTAGTCCCAGCTACTCTGGAGGCTGAGGCAGAAGGATTGCGGAGTTTGAGGTTGCTGTGAGCTAGGCTGACGCCACGGCACTCACTCTAACCTGGTCAACAAGCGAGACTCTGTCTCAAAAAAAAAAAAAAAAAAATTCTATAATGAAGAATTCTTAGGTTACTACTACGCAGCTGTTCTGTTAACAGGAATTAAAAAATCTGACAAGTCTTGTTGAAAAAGTTGAGCAGCAGAAACCCTCTCATACCCTTCTGGTGGGAGTATAAATTGTTACAGCTGCTTTGGGAAATAGTTTGACTTTATGTACCAAAGTTGAATATACCCAGTAACCTAGCAATCACACTTCTAGGTATATACACCAGAGAAATATATACCTAAGGGCTGAGATAGCTGTACCAGAAATATCTTAGTGTTCATATTTGCTCCAACATAGAAACTACCCTGGGGACAAGGGAATGGGTAACTAAATTATGATGTATTTACCCAATAGCCCATTACACAGCAATGAAAATAAACTACAGATACAGCAAAAACAAATGTTGAGCAAAAAAAAAAAAAAAAATAGAGAGAGACTAAAGAATATATACAGTATGATTCTATTTATATAAAATTCAGAAGTGGGCAAAAATAAACTAATAAACTTATGTATTGTAGAGCTGCACACCTAGGGGATAAATCTCTAAATAAAAGTGAAGAAATAACCATAAAAGTTAAGGTAATACTTCTGGGAGAAGGGGCTTGGGGTCAGAGAGGCACCCAGCCTTTCTGGAGTTATGGCAATGCCACATCCCTTGGCCTAGGTGGTAGTTGGACTAGTGTTTGTGTAATAACCTGATGAAATGTACATATATGTTTCCTATACTTTTTTTATAAGTATATACTACTTCATAACAAAAGTGATTTAAAAATACATGTCCTACTCAAAAAATGTAGAAATCCAAAGCATATGCTTATAGAGTGGATAAAGATGTTTTATCTTAACCTTCTTACTTGATCATTTTATAGAAATTTACATTTTTGAAATTTCATTTTTAAAAGCTTCAAAAATTTTCCAGATGAGAGTTGACCAAGTCTTATACTTACTTCCTAGGTAAGGAACTCCACTACATGAATTGAAGAAGGATAAGGTTGGCACTGCTTTGCTTCTTTCTTTATTGAAGTTTCTTCCTCTCTGATCAAGCTTCAGCATATCTCCTTACAGCATATGATACACAGGTATGCCACTGGAAAATTTAAATTTGTATAGATTTCTTTCTTTAGCTGTTACTTCTTTGCTTTGCATACAAATAAATTAATTAAATTCCAAAACATTCTGAATATACTTATTTCTGACTTTAACAATTTCATTCTTAAGCAGATGTATTTGAATATCTTCTACATACGTGACATTGTGTTGTGGTTTCTGCCTGACCTTATTTTTATTTTTCATTTTTTTAAAACCAGCATTAAACTCTAAGAATAATAGATATTACACCTTATGGCCCAGGAATGATTTAATAAGTTGGAAAACCAAAAATAGTAGCCTGTACCTCTACCTCACAGGCTTACTCTCTCTGAGAGCTCTCACTCAATCCCTCTTCCCTAGAAGGGTGCCTGGTGTGGGGAAGGCACTGGTCGGGGTGGGGGTGGCAGCCTGCCTTGGGGAGTATTGGTTTTCTTTTTTGAAAGACAGAGTCTTGCTCTGTCACCCAGGCTGGAACGCAATGGCATGATCATAGCTCACTGCAGGCTCCAACTCCTGGGCTCAAGTGCTCCTCCCACCTCAGCCTCCCAAAGTGCTGGGATTATTAAGTGTGAGCCACCATGCCCAGCCTGTGTAGTTATTTTTGATAAGTGAAAACTATCAATAAAATTATTATTTAAATTTCATTTATAATCACAATATTGTCATAGTACCACTCAGTTTTCCCCACTAGTCTCAGATTTTTTAATTTGTTTGAAGCAGGGTCCAAACAATTACAGTCAGCTGATACGTGTCTTAAGCCTCTTTTAATTAATAGAGGCCTCCTGCCTGTCCTTTTTTTTGCATTTTGCTTGTTGAAAATCCAGGCTGATTATCCTGTAGTCAGAGGTTCCCCTATTCTGCTTTTACTGTTTCCATTGAACATGTTCTTCTGCCTCTATTTCCTGTGACTGGTGACTGGACCTAGGTGCTTGATTGCTTTCCAGCTCAGCCTTTGAGCACAGGCACTCCAGAGGGGGCTGCATGCCCTTACCAGGAGGCACCCTGTCTGCACAGAGATGAGAGCCAGTGTTTTTTGAAATCTCAAATTTCAAAATTTCTTTCTAAAATTTTTCTTCTAAAAATTCATTGAAACTTTTCAGTCTACGATCTATTTCCTTCTTTGTTAGTATAGTGGTAAAAAAATATTTTAAAAAATTAAATTAAAAAACACAATCTACTTCTTAATATGGACTGGCCATGTCTTATGCTTTTCACTTACATCTTCAAGTAAAGTTGATGCTGCAGGAAAATGAGCCTTAGTATACCTGCAGCTTCTATGCCTCACAGAGCCCAGGGCTCCTACCCAATTTAACAGGCATGGCCTCTGGGAAGCCTCCTCTCCCTCTCCAGAGGTGCTGCCTGCTCCTGTGGCTCATTGAGTGGACTGAGCCCTCAGCTCCTCTCCCTGCTTCCTGTCCAGATGGCAGGACTCTGGCCCTGGGCCAGGAGAGGCGTAGCATCTTTGCATATAATAAGGACTGAATGAATGCTTTTTTAACATCTGAAATCATACGAACCAAGGAATATTGACCGTGCTGGGCCCTAAATGGCTATTGTTTTCTTAAAGGTTTTAAGATCATGCATTATACTGTGGTTTACTCAAGTTCTTTTCCAGCCATCAGTCAGTTGGTCTGTGTGTCTCTGTCTTCCTCTCCCTCTCCTAAGAGGGCTTTTAATATGTGATTATGATCTGCCTATTTGTTTGGATAAGAATCTAGTCTCCAGTGCATTAGCCCTGGGCCTTCTCCCGCAGTAAAACATTTGACACCAGGTATCATGGAAGAGTCAGCATGCTGAAATGTTTGCATACATATGGATTTCCAGAAAGCGTCTTTATCAATGGCATACCTGACTATGACCTTTGCCTTTCTCCTTTTATTGGCATCACTTGGATGAGACTTAATTTCCCTGCTGGGCTTGATGCTGAGCTGTTTTTCTATATGTATGTCATGTTTGGTATTTTCTTGCTGGCAGGAGACATTGCCTTTGTTTATCTGATGCTTCCCTGTTTTGGTTTTCCCCGGGCTTTCCAGTTCTTGGAGCATTTTGTCAGCAGATATAGTTTTGTTTCCAGTTTTTAAGCTCTAACTAAAATGAGACTGAACTTAAATAATAGAAGTAGGGAACATAAAATAAATCAGTAGAGTAATGGAGGCACGGAGGAAAGTGAAAGGAATTCACTGCAACTGTGGTGTATTTCTAAGTATATATATGCCTCAGCTGTAAGCGAGGGGCTTCCTGAGTAGCTGACTAGAAACTATCTTCTCAAATAATTAGAGATGTCATTCACTTATTCACTTGGATAAAAAATAAGATCCCCAAATACAGTAAATTCATGCCTAAAAATATAGCAAACAATAAATAATATAACAGTAATATTCTGCTTAAACTGCAGAATAAAATTTCTAGAACTAATAATTCCAGACACTATCTAGAACACCAGCTCCAAGGCTGCTGCTTTCTGGTAATTTCTGGCTTCTCTTTATGTCCTCAAAGTGGCTTAAGTACCATTTTTAATCACACAATTTCCCCTTTATTGTAATTTCCTTTGCACTTTCTTTGCTAAGTGGATCTTTTGTTACTGTCAGCAATACATTTTTCTTTGTATAGAAGCAAGCATTCTCTTCCCAAACCTGATGCTTAGCAAGGGAAGCAAGCAAGAGAAGGTGTGAGGTATTGGCAGTGGCCCCAGATTGCTACCTTGTGTGGCGGGCTTGCTCTCCAGAGGCACAAGCTGGTGTTTAGTATCTGGGCCTTGTGACTTTCTAAGTTGCTTTCCCAAGGCAGGATATTAAACATTAGTTAGCAAGTCCCTAAAAGTTGCCTCAAACAACATCTTTAATGCATTTGACTAAATTTGCATAATTTTTTCTCATCAACACAATAATTGTTATAAATGTTGTAGGACTTTCATTAGCTTATAATTGTCACATCTAAATTTTAGGATAAAGATAAGATTTAACTATTTTGTACCCATGTATAAACAAAAATGAAATAAAGGTATTTATATTTCAATAAAGAAATCTAATGAATGTTTCCACAATCTTCCATTTTTGAGTGGTTCCAAAGATGTAACTTCACTTATTTCTTGCCATTTTGGGGATTAGCCTAGAAGCCCTAGGTGGAACACATGGGGCGTTCCTGGCCTGTCCACAGCTCAGTGTGAGTGACCAGATAGTCATAGATTAGATATTATCATTGTGGATATTTTATTTAAAAAAATTTTTAGATCTCAAGGTTCATCCAAGTTACATAAATTTAAAGATAAAAAATAAATTTTTTTAGAGACAGTGTCTTGCTGTGTTGCTCAGGCTGGACTCAAACTCCTAGGCTCAAGTAATCCTCCTGCCTCAGCCTCCTGAGTAGATGCCACTACAGGGACCTGGCAAGCATCACAGATATTTTTTAAAATATTTAGCCTTTTAATTTTAGGTACTTTCTTTTTACAGTGGTTTTTAGTTTGGGGGTTCCTTTGAATACTTGTGGTGGTGTTCCAGTCTGGGAACAGGAAGCAGCTGACTCTGTCGGATGCCTGTTTGCTGTCTGCCGTCAGTCAGTGTGGTCCATGTTTGATGTTGGCAGTCGTCCTTTTGGCCACTCATTTCTCCTTAAATCTCTGCATTTAGTTTAAAATGTTATCTCCTCAAACTTAGTTTTTCATTGGCTTCAAGTCTCTTTACTCCTCTCTACTTTTAATTTTCCTATTTAATTTTCCTGTACTTGCAGTGATATGCAATGCTTTGCATGTAAATATGGATAGACAGAATTGTGCTACATCAGGCTGAGTGTGGTAGCCATTGTTTTCATGTTGGTGGCAGTGATGAGGACTGGTTACCAAGCTGTGGGTGATGGGAGAAGAATCTTGGATATCTCATCCCTTTAACTTTTTTTTTCACTAAAAATTTGTTGAACATTTTCTTATTGAGATAAGATTCACATAACATAGAAGTTATCGTTTAAACTAAAGTGTGCAGTTCAGTGTCTTTGTGTATATTCACAAGGTTATGCAACCATTGCCACTGTCTAATTATAGAACATTTCATCACCCCAGAAAGAAACCCCATAGCCACTAAGCTCTCCCCATTCTTCCCTTGCCCCAGCCCCTGGCAACCACTAATCTCCCTTTTCTGTCTATGCATTTGCCTATTCTGGACATTTATACAAATTGAATCATGATATGTGGCCTTTTTGTTTCTGACTTATCTCTTAGCATAATGTTTGCAAGGTTTATCCATGTTGTGGCATATGTCAGTACTTCATTCCTTTTTGTGGTTAAGTAATATTTTATTGTGCGGATACACCACATTTTGTTTATCCATTCACCAGATGATGAATATTTGGGCTGTTTCTACTTTTTAACTATTATGAATAATGCTGCTGTGAACATTGTGTACAAGTTTTTGTGTGGACATATGTTTTCATTTCTCTTGGGTATATACGTAGGAATAGATTTCTGGCTCATGGTCATTTTATGTTTAACTTTTTGAGGAGCTGCCAGACTGTTTCCACAACAGCTGTACCATTTTACATTTCCACCAGCAATGTATGAAGGTTCCAATTTGTCCACATCCTTGCCAACACTTGTAATTTTACATTTTTGTTATTGTTTTAGCCATCCTGGTAGCTGTGAAGTGGTTATAGTGGGGTTTTTTTAACAGTAATTTTTTTTAAAATTGAAGCACAATGTGCATAACATAAAATTAACCATTTTAAAATGAGCAGTTCAGTGGCACTTAGTACATTCACAGTGTTGTGTAACCACGACCTCTCCTCTCTGGTGCCAAAACATTTTTATGGCTCCCCTACCCCCAGGCCCTACAAATACATGTGCCCATAAATGTTTTCAGTGACTCCCTCCCTCCTGCTCCAGTAGCCGCCTCAGCACTGGGAGAGTTCCAGGCTTGGTGAGGTGAAGGCAAGTGCCTTGAGCCAGTCTTCTGGGGAGCCAGCAGAGAAGCCAGAACAAATAGCCGCAATTCTGTGCGTGTGA